TGATGGCTTAGTGATAATGCCACCACATCTGACGTTTTTGTTCGTTTTCGTTTATATCTTACAAGTGTAGCACTCGTAACTGGGTGAGGGAGTGGTACGAAGGGAAAGCGGCTGATCCAAGGACCAGGGCAAGTTCGTTTTTGATAAAGTTTAGCGGATGGTATTATCTGGACTGGGAAATATCACTTCTTTATTAGAGTATAAAAATCGGAGCATTTTTCTCAAATTGAGCGATAGAAGAAGCTTGAATCAGTACTCAATCTGCTCCCTCTTCAACTCTACTCCACTGGCCGAAGGGTGAATAACAGGGTATCCCATTTCACTATGAACTCATCTGTTAGCTTCCGGAGAAAGTAACATGTATCGGGTGTAGTACACTGACCGACCTGGCGCTCCTGATGACCGCTGACCTCTGGAAGAATACATAAGTAAAGAAGTAATTTTAGCGTTGCACCAAACTGGACACATTCTATGGGAGCGGCTTGTGGAATCTATCGTCGAATGGCGTTGAACAAGCATTGCTGCACCTGTGCAACCTGCGACAAATAAGTCTGTGCGATGCGGGACCTGTGCCATCAAGTGCTTACCATCTTTTGAGTGACAGTAAAGCCACGCCACACATTCAAGCTGTAATTTTGGGCGGTAACACATTTGAACCGAAGATAGCAAGTTTGTTTTTTATGTGTTTCCTTGTGACCAAAAAAAGACCTTATGCCTGGAACCGCTTGTACTGCGACTGTATATGTCAGCCTCTTTGTCTCTTGTCTAGATAATCAACTTCTAACCTATGAAAGCTGGCAGTTTGTTGTCGTATTGTCCTCGTCCATGTAAAAAGGCGAAAAATGCAAAGCATACTGACTTGCCTGTGCGCTGGCGCCGGCTTTCTCCCCTTTGCCGTTGGGGGCATGTAATCGTATAAGCTCAACTAACTTCATTCAGATGCTCGCCGTTACGCCGGTTTTTTTCCTCCAACTGTTCGTTCTTTTCGTACTGGTGTGGCTGGAACTATTTTTTGGAGCCTTACTGGCCTATTTTTTCTGCGAGAAACTTCTTGCTCGCTCCAGGATAATGCCTGTTCTCAACAAGCAAGCGCTGTTTGGCTCTGTCCATTCGGCTAAAAGTCAGTGGCCTAAGTTGCTACTGGCTCCGGCGAATGGAACGCTACTGTCAAAAAAAAAAATGTATACGTATATATATGAAAATATGTCGTACGTCGTTTGTTACTGACAAATAGGTGCTTGATCCAGAACAGTTGGACAGCTCACTCGCCAACTAGCTGGGAGATTTTTTGTTTGTTGTAGAAATTGAACATTTGGCGACGAGCACTGTTTTCAGCGTTGGACAGTAATTGCCCCCGGCAACACTCATTCATCGTCAGTTTAACACGGTTTTTGCTTGCAGAAATTTTGTATTCGTCTTATGATGCTGAGAATACATGTTTTTTTATCGACCTAAGCGGAGCCGGAATATATGCCTGTTGGGGAAAAGGAGCGGGGCGCCTTTGCAATACATAAAGAGAGCTCAAAAATAATCCCAGAGAAATGCTGTGAGAAGGGAACAGTGATTGCCGGAGCGCAAGCAACTGACAAAATTGGCCACTCACCAGCGCTTGCTGATGTGAAATTAAAAATGTACTAAAAGAGTCTGAACTGCACTGGACAAAATTAAGGGATCGCGGCGGGTCTAGACGCTGTCTTTCGACGTTTGCCGCAATTTCGCACTTCCGGTGAAGCATGTCGATGGCGTGGTTACGAGTACCATATGTGGCGTGATCGCCGCGCATATGATGAGCTACTGGCAGCATCAAGCCATGCCGATTGCCCGGGCTGTGGCCGAGACATGGGCCTGATTGAAGGCAGCACGCTGTAGCTTTGAATTCTGGACAGTATCGCTGTTCGCTCAGCGTTGTGCCTTTTTTTTATATTTAATTGCTAATTATTCCTTGTACTGCTTTGTGATTCAACTTTTTATCAGGGATATTGTCAGTTTGCTCTATGTCTGCTGGTAAACTTTTGCATGTATATTCTTCTTTGTCTATGTCGATCTCGAATTTATATTTGTTAATTTCGCTCTGGATTTCCGGGTGTGTTCTAGTTTAGCACCAATTTGTGTCGATCTTCTAGCAATGGAGAACAGAGCAGGCAAACGGAGCAAAAACGTTTTATTCAGCAAAAATAGCTAG